GGAACGAAGTCAATATAGTCAGCTTCAGAGAGATGATCGTCAATTTCATCCCAACAGTTGCCGGTGTTTCCCTGGCTGAGGCGCCAGCTTTCGTCAAAGCTCCCGGTGGTGCTTGGCAAATGTTTCCATTGTCGTGTCATGGCTTGGAGGTTGGTACGCCTTCGTTGGAAAGCTTGGCGTTGAGGATTTCAGTTCGATGCTCGCCGCAGTTCTACGGGATAACAGTGTCTCCGTCGCCGGCATTCGCTTCGACGGTGTCACCCGCACGACACTCGATCACTTTTTGATTTCTCTCCATGCTTGAGTTTTGGATATTAGATTTGATGTCGACCTTTTTTGGCCTTGTAATTTCTGTGATTATTATTGTTTTCCAATGCTTGTATCGCCTTAGGGCACAATTCAACCACAAATCTGTATGCATGTACCCTTCTCTTCGAAAGCTTCAAAATTTTCGTTTCTCTTTTGACGAATGGCTTTCATCTCCTAAAACATTATAGAAAAAAGTTTATATTATGATATTTAATAGTTATAAAAGATTTCAAAGTTAATAAATTTTTAATTTAGAATTGTTAGTTTATTAGCATATAAATTTTTAAAATTTTTTGAAAAAGTTGACATTTACATCATTTTTTTTTCATCTCAATATATAAGGGTATAAAGGTAATTTATTCCCATACAGCTACAGCACATCAACTTGATAGTTATACTTCCCAAACAAAATATTCTGCTTTATGTACAATAATTTTTGAAAGCAATTTTTTGTACAACAATTTTGCAATCTACTTTATCGACAGCTGCAGTCGTCCCAAACACACCCTATATCAAAAGAAAAAAAACACATTAATGTTTTTCCCCCTTGCCTTTCTACTTGAAGGAGTGCAGAGTATGAAATCGACTTATTGGAAAATTAAATTTGATCCTTATTTCCTCTCCCTACATTTTTTTTTCCTTGATACATCATAAAAAATCATCTTGATTGAGCACGAATCATGATGTATATTTTAATTGGAAACTTTTGATATTAAATTCAGGATTATCTGAACTTGTGTTAAACTTACAATAAAATTGAACGACTCGATGAGGTGAACCCAATGATACTAATTGTGGTTTGATTTGAGTTCAATTATTCATTAATCAGGAGCTTGAAGCATACTGAGAAACTTTAGAATATTAATTGCAGGACCAAATAATCTCTAAAATTGGAATGCTTATAGTTAAATCGAGGGTCTCGACTAGACGAATCCAGTGAACCCAAGATTGCTTAATACACATATTATTAAACACTTAAATGTTGAAGAAATGATTTATGATTAAGGAAATTGATATAGGTAATCTGATAGAGTGTTTTGAGTTTTCTCTATATTACGGGGTATGTCACTAAAAAAATTTATAAATATGCCCACACTTTCTAAATGAAGGGAGAGTGAAGAGCTTGGAATTTGGCTTGAGACACAAAAGAGCCCTGAGACTCTTAGGATCCCGGAGTGCCACTGTCGGGTCATCATCCAAGTGTCACCATTAGACCACGGTTTGATTGCCGTTGTCTAACAATCTCATGAACGTCACTGTCGGACTACTGCCAGCCTGATTGACGTTGTCGGGCAACCACTCGACATTGTTGTCGATAAACTATATGACGTCAGACCACTTCTCGCCACCATTGTCGGTCAATTGCCTGACGTTGCTGTGGCCCCATAGCTCTATAGCTGCTATTGGAATATCGTCCAATTTTCATCGTCGTATCATCGTTCTTCCGACCACCATCTTCCAAATATGGTCATCCGATCTATAACCTTTTGATCATTGTTGCGTGGCTACTCCAACGTCTATTGACTTTATCACGTACCATCGCCAGTAATGCTAACACATGCTATCACTTATAAGATTAATGTACGTTGTTGACATCCACTCGACTCATAATGTGGATTTATGCTTGATTTTTTTGGTCTTTGATATTTTCTTTTTAGAGGAGTACGACCAAACAAACAAGCAAATGTTGTTTTAAAGGCAACTCTCATGCCACAAGGCTCTCCCAAGTTCATCCACGTAATATATCTTTTATAGTGTATTATTGCCTTCCCTCGAGAAAAAGCATCATTTTTAATCTATTATAAATAATATCAGAATCTGATAGGAAATACTTGATTTCAAGTATTTTCTAGCCCAATTAAGTAGAAAACAGCAACCAAACTGCTGTTTACAGCAGGAAAACAGCCACCAATAGTGGAAAAACAGAGAGAAACGAGGGAGAAATCACACCCAAATCGTTGATTTTATTGATAGATGCAAGAAAAACAATGAAGATACAGTAGATCCTCTATTCGAGAGGAGGATCTCACTCTCCCAATCTCTAGAAAATAATCTAGAGCCTTAGCCACAGGAGAAAATCCAAGAGAAGTTTCAGCAAATTTCACATCCCCCTAACCCTAGCTTTTCCCCCTTAATGCATAAAATTCAAAATTAATACACCCCCCCCTCCTTCCTTGGCTCCAAAATTGAATTTGAATATAAAGTGGACCCCACCCCTTCCTCTCTCCTAGATACTGCCAGCCCCCTCCTGCTGTAAACGAACCTAACCGGCCCAAAGGGCTGGGCCGGCTGGACCGGTCTAACATTACCGCCCTCCCAAAAAATCACCTTGTCCTCAAGGTGGAAGTCAGGAAACTATCGTTTCATCCGCTCGAATGGCTCCCACGTGGCCTCGTAGTTAGGGAGGTTCTTCCATTTGATCAGGACTTTTGTAGCTCCATCTGCTTTCTGACGAATCTCCATAAGCTCCAAAGGTTCTAATATCATTTTCATCTCATCAGTTAATGTCCCTGGTAACTCCGAACTGATAGCATAATCTCCAATGGCTTTCCTCAGCTGGGATACATGGAAAATAGGGTGGATCGTCGCCGTAGGTGGTAGCTTCAAACGATATGCCACAGTTCCAATTTTCTCCAACACTTCATAAAGACTGAAGTACCTTGGAGCAAGCTTCTCATTCCTTCGGTTGGCGATCATTTTATGTCGATATGGATGGAGTTTCAAAAACACCCTCTCGCCCACTTCAAACTGAATGTCCCTCTGATGCCAATCAGCTTGTTTCTTCATAATCTGTTGAGCTCTAAGCAGATGTCTTTTTAACTCTTCAAGTATCTTATCCCTCTTCTCCAAGTACTCATCTACTGAAGAAACTTGAGTACTACTATTCCCAAACTGCACCAAGTGGGGTGGATCCCTTCCGTACAACACCTTGAATGGGGTCATCTGAGAAGCTGAATGAAAATAAGTATTGTACTAATACTCGGCCCATGATAGCCATTTAGCCCATAGCTTGGGTGTCTCTGACGCAAAGCATCTCAGATAAGTCTCCAAGCTCCGGTTGACTACTTCTGTTTGACCATCCGTCTATAGGTGGTGAGCAGTGCTCCTTTTCAGCACAGTCCCCTACAGTCTAAACAATTCTTTTCAGAAATGGTTGAGGATTACTTTATCCCTGTCTGATAC